GAAAAGAGTACACTATCTAAATCTATAAAGAGGAGAACCCAGTGGAGAGTAATGCCCTGTGAGCCCTCCCCTCTGCCACTTTCACCCCCAGGAGGCAAAGAAAGTCTCTGAGCCCAGGGCCGCCTCTTTGGAGCAAAGGAAGGATTCTCTGAAACATATTTCTTTCCTTAAATGTTCAAGTTTATTTCTTATAAGAGAAAGAGACAGTGAAAGAGACTGAAAAAGACAGCTCCCCCTACAGGATCTTGTACCATGATCCACCCCCGGCCTCAGCCAGGTCTGGAGCGTGAGCACCCAGAGTTCCCAGACCTCAGGCCTCCCGTCGGGTCAGCCTTGGAGTCTGAGGCTCGTTACCACCGTACCACTATCTGCCTGATGTTATTTTCTTTTTTAATAATTATTTAACTTTCTCTCTCCTTTCCTTCCTTTCTCTTTCTTTTTATTTTCTTTAGAGGTTTTTGCTATAGGGCACGTGCACTCACCAGAAAGAGAGAGACAGAGACAGAAAGCAAGAAATCACCCCCCAGGGGGATGGCCACGCCACAATCCCTTCTCCTCCATTCTCCTCTCGGGATCTTGGGCATGCACGCACACGCGCCCAGCATGAGTTAAGCCACCGGGTCCAGGACTCGAACTGCAGTCGACGACATGGGAGTCCAGCGACAGCCATTATGCCATCTGCTGGTCCCACCTCTTTCTTTCTTTCTTAGGTCTGGGAATCAAACCATGGTCGGCCATGTGGGAGTCCAGCGCCCTTAACCACGGCGCCACCTGCCGGCCCTTATTATTTTCTTTTCTTTTTAAGATATAAAGATGCAGGGGTCAGCAGGTGGTGTGGTGGTTAAGGCGCTGGATACTCCCATGTGGCCGATCACGGTTCGAGTCCTGGACCTGGTGGCTTTGCTTTCTCACTTTTCTTCTCTCTCTCTCTCTGTCTCTCACTAGTTGAATTAAAATAAATGAATGAATAAATAAAATTAAGAAAATACGTGTGCGTGTGTGTATACGTGTATACACACATGTGTATACACACTCATGCATCTCGCACCACACCAGCAGACAGAGTCATCCCCCCAAATGCGGCCTCCTGCCCTCTGGTCCCCCCTGGCCCTCCTCCAGACAGCCACTCGCCCCCTCCCTGCTGTCACAGGTGAGCGCGTCCCCAGGGTCGGCCGGCCCTCCTTGCACACAGCAGTGGGTGCGCTGTCCCCCGTGCCGCTGCCACTCGGCGTCTCCTCCTCCTCCACGCTATGCATTGCTCAGCGGCGGCTCGTTCTGGACCAGCGAGTGCCCGCACTGCAGGCGCCTGGCCTGGCCTGGCCTCCGGCCCTCCCTCACGGCCCCCTCTCCCCGCAGCGGCTGCAGAGCGGCACCACGGGTGTATGCGTGCTCATCTCAGGGACGACCCTGCACGTCGCCTGGCTCGGGGACTCCCAGGTCATCCTCGTGCAGCAGGGGCAGGTGGTCAAGCTGATGGAGCCCCACAGGCCTGAGCGAGAGGTAAGGGGGTCCCTCCATCTCCCGGCTCGGCCCCCGCCCCGCGTACTGGGCTCACGGCGGGGGTGCAGAGAAGCAGAATTTGAGAGACCCCGGCTGGGTGTGACTGGGGCAGATGGGGATGTGCAAGGGGTCCCGGAAACTCCTAATGTCCCCAGAGGGAGGGTACCCCGCCTGAGGCGTGACCAGGGGCAAGCTGGGCCCTCTGCCCCTGTAGGCAGCCCGGGAGGTGGGGTCAGCGGGACCAGGCTCAGTCCTGTCACTCACGCGGACAAGGAGTGGCTGACCGTGGGCTGTGGCCGTGAAGGTGACGTGACGTTCCTGCTCAGACCACTTGTCACAAGTGTCTGCGTCTCCTGAGTCAGAAAGCCAGCACTGAGATACCAAGGGGTGCCTGTTTGCCCCGACCCCGAACCCCACTTTGCCCACACACCGCTCCACACTGCCTTTTCCTCACCTGTGCACCCGGCGGGCCATCCCCCGTCCACACCTAAAGCGCCATGCTGTCTTGGGACTGTGTGGCCACCCCTGGCGATGGGTGCTCTGATCATTCCGGCCTTTCAGTGCTGAAAAACACATGGCGAGGGACCAGCAGTTAGCGTAATGGCTACGCCCCTGGACTCCCATGTAGTCAACCACGGTTTGAGTCCCGGACCCGGTGGCTTAAACACACTCCGGGTGCATGTGCGTGTGCGCCCCAGATCCCGAGAGGAGAATGGAGGAGATGGGATTGCGGCATGGCCATCCCCCCTGGGGGGTGATTTCTCGCTTTCTGTGTCTCTGTCTCTCTGGAGAGCACATGCGCCCTATAGCAAAAGCCTGTCAAAAACAAAACAAAACAAAAAAGCACATGCTAAGATGTCACTTTGCCCTATGGCATTAGGGCACCTGCTCGGTCAGCTCCCCCCAGCCCCCAACTCTGGCTGTCTCCCCGCAGGACGAGAAGGCACGCATCGAGGCGCTGGGTGGCTTCGTGTCTCACTTGGAGTGCTGGAGAGTCAACGGGACCCTGGCTGTCTCCAGGGCCATCGGTGAGGGGGACACGGAGGCTCATAGGAGCGGGGGAAAGGGGAATCTAGCCCTTTTCGGAGCTATGGACCCTGGGCTCTCCCAGTGGTTAAGACAACAGCATGAAGCCAGCAGGTGGTATGGTGGTTAAGGCGCCGAACTTCCACGTGGCTGACCGTGGTTCGAGTCCTGGACCTGTCAGCTTTCTCTTTCTCTCTCTAATGAGCTCTTGTGCCCTGTAGTAAATTAAAAAATAATAATTATAGATAAAATGAAATCATTCTTATCTAAAAAAAAGCAGTTTACTGTGCTGCAAAGGATCTGTGCTATACAAGGGCTGCGTCGTCATCAGACTGAAGACTGCAGCTGTGAACGCCCAGAAACTGCCGTCTCCCACAAGTAACTGCAGTTCACGTAGTGCGTGAGGGCCTCCCAAAAGTTCTGGGAGAATGGAATTCAAGTTCAAGCTTATTTTGAGGCAGAAAACTGTTGAGTTCCGTGCAGAGCTTTTTCATAATACGGGTTTCCCTTCTTGAAGACCTCCTGTATTATTCTCTGTCCATTAAGACAGACCCCACCGGCCCAGTCTAGTAGGAAACTCTTACCTAGCTGCCGCATGTGCTGGGGGAAGTCAGAAGTGTTCCGTAAATGAGGCTTATTCCTCTCCCCTCCCCATTCTTGCTGATTTGTTTTCTTTCTCTTTTTCTTTTTTAACTTGCTATAGGACACATGCACTTTTGAAGAGAAACAAAAAGAGAAAGTGAGAAAGCATCCCCAGGGAGGAATAGCCATGTGCAATCTCTTCTTTTTTTTTTTTTTTTTGGAGAGGTTTTTGTTGTAGGGCACGCATGCTCTCCAGAAAAGACAGAGAGAGACAGAGAGACAGAAAGTGAGAAATCAGCCCCAGGGGGATGGCCACGCCGCAATTCCTTCTCCTCTATTCTCCTCTCGGGATCTTGGGCACGCACGCACACGCGCCCGGCGTGAGTTTTAAGCCACCGGGTCCGAGACCTGAACCGCAGTCGACTACGTGGGAGTCCAGCAACATAGCCATTGCGCCAACTGCTGGTCCCCGTGTGCAATCTCTTCTCCATTCTCTCAGGATTTTAGACACACAGATACATACATGTACCCAGCATTTTAAAAATTATTTGTAATGTTATTATTTTCTTTTAGTTTGCTATAGGACACATACACTCAGAGAGAGAGAGAGACAGAGAAAGTGAGAACGCAAGCCGCCAGGTGCAGGACTCAAACCGTGCTCGACCATGTGGGAGTCCAGTACCCCAACCTCCACACCAGCTGCTCAGCCTGTTCAAGCCGCCAGGTCCAGGACTTGAACTGCGCAGGTGACCATGTGGGATCCACCACCTTCACCACCACACCACCTGCTGGCCCCAGGCTGATGGCTTTATTTTCTAAATTTTGCTACTGGGCACATGTGCTCACCAGAAAGAGAGAGAAAGAGAAGGAAAATGAGAACGCCTCCCCTAAGGGGGATGGTCACACTGTAGTCCTTTCTCCATTTCTTCCTCCTTTCAAGATTTGGGGGGAACCAGCAGTTAGCGTAATGGGTATGTCGCTGGACTTCCATGTAGTCGACCGCGGTTCGCGTCCCA